CACAGGAATCTTGTAAATGGCTTACACATAATTATGTTTTTATTCCAAGGCAATGGAGATATAACTCTTCAAAATGGATAAAAATCTTGAAATGAACATCTGGACATACAAATTAAATTGCTCTTAGTGTAAGGACAGTGCAGTGCTTTATTCTCCCTGGCAGGCTTCAGCACACTTGCAGACTTGACACTAATCCACAGGATCAGAGTCATCTTGTAAACTTAATGTCTCTAAATGTTTTCACGTATTTTTATTGCAGATCTATCCTTTCAGGACATTAGAGATCAAACTGAGCCCTGGTAAGGCACACACAACCTCTCTGCATTGACTGAGAGCTTTATATACTTAGATCAAGATAGCATTGGGTCTCAAGAGCAAATCATTCTTCTGACAACAAACCGTCACCTGCCCTGCACAAGCTCTGGCCCTCACCATCAATGAAATTATAGATTAGTTTATTGATTATTTTTTCCCTTTTTTCCTCCCATTTACTCTCCAACTCTCATGGAAATTCGAGACATTTCATATCTTTCTATTGACAAGAGCAACAACTAAATCAGATTACACAACTCCCCTAATTCCCAAAAGTAATTTCCAAATTATTCTTAGGTACTTTGCCTGTCTGTTGCTTGCAGTTGGAGAGCATGCTGAGATACTTGCAACTTGTCATGGTTTAAGTCTTAATTAGTTCATGGGAGTGCATCCTTTTGAAATGCTGTACTTGGGACTTTCTCTAGGCTATTCTTCTTCTGAAAGGAATGAAAATACTCAGTATCGTAATTAAGCACTTCTACTCATGTTAACTTTTTGAAGAGTGTTTAAAGAAAGCCAAGTCAACCTATTAACTACTAATTTTACAGGGGAGCAGAATTGTCTTCATATTTACATTGTATTTATTTAGGTGTGCCAATATTTCCAAATTAAAATAGTAAAGTGTCTACAAACACTTCTCAGAAGAGAGTTGGGCAGGATGCATGGTACGTGCAGGATACAGGGCAATTGGGAATAACGCAGCTTTTGTGGTGGGACTGACTGCAAATCAATCTGCTCTTTACCTCCGCTCCCAAGCAGGATTAATGACTGAGAAATGCCAGGAAACATTCCTCGCTGTCATCAGCAAGCATCAGCCACTTGCTTCGCCAGAGCTGGGGATCTGCTCATATCTCGGAGCCGACACTGCCTGTCCCGCACCCCCCACCTCCCTCCTGCATCCCAGGGAGCACGGACGCTGTGTGAGCGCATCCGAGGGGCCTTTGTGCATCCTGCTGTCCATGTCCCATGGGCTTAAATACGAGAATTGGCCCTGTGTGCACTTCACGCACTACTTCAAACCTAGAGACTGATCATAAATTTACCAATTAGGATAAAATATTTTTTAAAGACCTAAATTTGAAGGTTAAAAGCCACTGGACCAAATGTATCTTCAAAGTAAATAAACTGGCTTCTGCTGAAGCCAGGCTGTGAAGCCACCCAGTACAAAGTGCTGCAGGCAGAGCAGGGGCTCTCAGCTTTCGTTATGTGCTGAATTGCACTGCCCACAGAGATTCTCCTCTCAGGAGGAGACGATGCTCCTCATCCCTCAGCTGCCCACAGAAACTGGACACAACAAAACCCTCCCTGCTTCTGGCAGTTTAGCTTGCAGGAACAGGGAAGCAGGCACTTTGGGTTGCTACCAATTAGAGCACACTCCTTGCAAGCCACGGGGGAAAAAGTTGAACCAGCCTTCATTCAAACCTCTCCCAGCTCCTGAAGCCTTGAACTCCACTGGGTGATGCAGTCTCAGCTTATTGCACCACTCCATGCATCACCAATGCTTTTCGTGCTATCAGCACTATCAGTAATATGAAGTTACACTGCCTGAATAATAATATATATCCAGGCCATAAGTGACTCCTTACTGGTTTCATGACATGCATGTCTATGATCAGTGAGGGAAGGTTATTTTATGCTTCTCTTCCTTTTCTTCTTCTGCTTTATGCATATACATAAACACATACACTTGCACCAAATGTTTTGATGTTGACAGCATTTGCATTTCAACAGCAGTAGCGTTTTTCACATTCCATCCTAAAACAAGACTCATTTTCCAATTCCAAGACTATTTGCGCTTTCTGTTTAAAGTGCTCCAGTTTTCTTTGAAAGGATGACTACAAGTTGCCAAAACCCTTCATTTAAAATGGTAGATATGCCAAATGGAGATTTACTTTTTATTAATCTTAATCAGTGAGGCCACAAGTACTAAAAATGTCTTTAAAACTTTAGCGCTTTGTAAAAAGGCCCTAGTTTCCTCCATGCTTCCAGAAAGCAATTCCTGTATAAACCACAATCACCACTTTGCCTTTAACCACTTTCACATTGGGTTTCTGACCCCACCATAAAATAACAAATACTGGATATTGAATAAGAATCCTCTAAAATATGAAGCATATTAAAGGTGAAAACTTTGGCTGGCTACACTAAGCTCTACCACCAGCTAATGATACAGGATTGTTTTCCAAGAAAAGATTATAAGAATTGAGTGACCTTTTTAGATTGATTGAACTATGAGTAAAAAAAAAAAAAAAAACACCACACCACCATGCCCGAGTTTGACATTAACTGGAAAATACAAGCAACATCAGGCATCGCTAGAGTAAAGTTCATTGAACCGCAGCTGCTGTTGCACCAATGGTTATGAGGGGCACGCTGAAGGGGGCTGCCACATCACCCTTTTTCCAGACCAAGATGAATCCGCAGCAGACCAACCCTATTTAAGATTTTTGCTATCGTATAATAAAGTACCTGTTAAAAATATGTTCTACCAGTTCAAACATTTTAAGAAAACACTGGAAGCTTCTTAGAGAGTAAATATTAAAAGTGTTTTAATAACTACATTTGATTACTACTTTATAGGGTTTATTACTTTACTACTTCACTGAATTAAGGAAGAAAATCAGGGAACTAGGAACCAAGTTCACAGCATAGAACCTTCCTCACAGGGCTTTTTTTTCTTGAGACAAGTTTGACTCGAGATCAGAAAAAAGGAACTTGCCTTAAGCATTTACTATGCAGTGTATAGAAGGATACGCCACTAAGACAGAGCCTACCTGTAAAGTTACAACCCAGATTTCAAACAGCTTAAGAGCTTTTGAGTATTTAAGACTTACTCTAGTGCAGTGAGCACACAGCAGGGCTGTGAAAACAGGACAAGGAAACCATCATACTCATCCATTTTCTTGAAGCATCAGCATTTAAGTGAAGTAAGAGAGAAAGCATGCTGAGATTTTAAAATTTCAATGAGATCTAGAAATTAGACACAGCTCCTAACTAGTTTGCAGGACCATGTAGGTGGCAAAAAAAAGCAACAAATGGGAGATGCACAAGGATCTCCAAAGGAACACTGCGGCTTACCTGGTGCACGCAGGACTTGGCATTCAGAAAGAACAGCTCGACTGTAGTTTTGTCCTTGAGAAAGGAAATGCTTTCAATGTAGAACCTGAAAATTAAGAAAACCCCAAACAATTATTTTCTTGAATACGTTTCATCTTCCTCCCAAATAATTTTATTTCCTCAGTGTTTTGTTCTCCAATAAAAAAATACTGCAAAGGAACTATGAGCTACTGCACTTAATTTCCTGACTATTAGGAGGGAACAAGCAGGAAATCACGGGCTGACGGCACACAGGGAACGACAAACTCCCTGTTCAACAGATCGCAGATATCTGATGACTTAACTCATTTGAAAACCCTGTCAAATGTTAAAGCAGCAAAGCCCATCCCTCCTACGCAGACAAAAGCATACAAGTGGAAAAGGTGACTCCAAACAACGTGTTGCAGGTTGGGAAGCCAGCCCAGCGATTTCCTGGATGGGCCGAGAGCCATTAGCTTTGCTTCAAGCAGACAAGCAAAAAGCCACACAAGGAACACTTTGGGGCCAGGTCCATCCCACTGACACATACATCCTATTGGCAACAGGAGCCCCAAAACCAGGGGTTTACATGGAAGAGCTGCAACTGGGTCAGCCTCACAGGCACAGCTCTGCACAGAGCACTCTGCCTTCCTCCCCAGCCTTCCTCCTCCCTGGGCCATGGGTGCATCTCAGAGGCACACACCAACAAAAGCCATCCCATTACTGGTTACTCCAGCCCAGCCAAAATTAGCAGATGGGTCCCAGTTTGTTATAGAGCTACACCAAACATCACGTATGCCACCGGCACTCTGCAAAAACTGCACACAACCTGTCTGTGCGCTTCTCTGACTCACTCAGGGCACCAAACCAAACAGTGCCGGGACGCATTAAATGGTGTGGAGAAAACACGTCTATAATTTGAGGCGCGTGGAACTGCCAAGTCAGTTTAAAGAGATACAAATTTGTCTGAATGTGGGCCTGTCAATCCTCCTTTAGGTGGATCCAAAAGCAGGATAGCTGTGTTTCAGGCTCCTTATGAAGGATGAATGCATTGGATCCAGACTCCTCCACCTCATACTAGAGAGAAAGCGCACTTTTTTTCCAGCCAAGCAAAGACTTGGGCAATCACCACCACCGCAGACCACAACAGGGCTTCTCAGTGTTTTGCCTTCAATAGCAGGACGGTTCAATGGCCAACACGGGGCACGCAGCCCACTATGGTTATCAACCAGGCCAATCCTTCCACAGCCCCATGGTGCTCCTGAGGCTACACGCAGCCTCAAGCTCCAGCCACTGATCTCTTGGGGTAGATGAGTTGCAGGACACTGGACAAGTCCACAGCAGCACTGAACATGTCGTAGAAAGCAGTAAAGCTAGTGCCTGTTGTGCTTGTTAAGAACATATGAAGTATTTATGCCATGACTCAAGACAAGCAATACATTAAATAGTACTTGTTTTACTATTTTGCATTCCTACAGCACATTCCAAATTAATTTTAAAGCACTCCCCAGAATACTTCTTCAGGATAAGGAGATAATTCGCCCATTTTACAGGCATGCAGCCTGTCCAAGGGGCAGACCCAAGCCCAGCAACCTGCCCCAGACATTTGAAAGGCTATTTTACATTTCCATGACTCACCTTTCACCAAGAACTGTAGGAGCCACAGGTATTTCCACCCTCTCTTGATTGCTCTTGATATAATGGGTTTTTTCCCAACAGCTTTGCTAAGCTTCACTTTAAATACAGTTGAGTGTTTCTCTCCAGAAATGCAGAGCGTCAGAGGGCAGGAGCCTCACTCTTCATCCTTTCCCAACCTGATGCTGGACTGACCCTTCATGGCATGGACCTTTCTCAGCCTACTAAAGCCTTTTTCTCCCTCCACTACACCAAAAAGGTCATTTTCCTTAACCGATGACCTCATTTTCACTTGCAGTTCCTTTCAACTAATAGTCAGGCATGGCTGACTTACCCTTAGAAGCAGGATAGTACTCGTGGCTCCCAGTCACTGCTGGTACAGGCCAGGAGACTGTAGGATCTGTGGATTTAGGGAGAGGGCACTGAGGAGGCGCTGCCCTCTACCCAAGTCCAGCTGCACACTCTGTTTCTTCTGTAGTTCAAGCTTTATGCTCTTATCACCACAGTACAGATGGGGAACACTGGACCACAGAGATAAGGGTGCCTAGGGGATGACATGCAGGTTTGGGAACATCATAAAGTGTATGTTTTGCTTTTATTTCTGATGTTGTCAGTACCCTTGAAACTAGAATGACACTTTTATAAGCCCTAAATCAGCATTATAGGACCCTTCACCAGCTGCGTGTGCCATATGAAAACTTACGTGACTACACTGAGTTTATGCCAGTTAAAGAAAATTAATTAAAATCTGAAAAGATTATGTGTTTCATTACTGAATAGCAATAGCTCAGGGTCAAGGAGTTATGAACAAAAGGAGGGTTACAACCAGGTATCCGGGGATCCCCCCCATTTCCAGTGTTGCTACTGGAAACTGTCCAGTGAACAAATACAGAGAACTGGGTTTGTTGCACATTTGACACTTATGAGGACAGCAGCTCAGTGCCCTGCCTCGTTATACCTGCATCTCAACCAGAAGTGATACTGAAGCAGTATTTATTCTATTAACAGTTGAACTTGTTTCAAACACGTAGAAGGCATGGCACATGCAGGAGGTCTCACCCATCCCAAGGGACACCCTGTCCCTGCAGCAGCATCCACTGCTGTCACATCGTGCATGGCTGGAGACCATCCAGCGCAGGGGAACGAGCACCAAGCACCGGGCCTCTCCGTCCATCCCCGCCACGCCACTTGCCCCATGCCCAACTATGCTTTTCCAGTCAAGCTGACAGCGCACACAGCTGCAGCTGTGTATTTCTGCTGCTTTCATGGGAGTTTAATTAAGGAACAGGCTATGACAAAGCAAATGTGTTCACAGGAGATAAAGCGTCTGACCACTCAAAGCACATGCCATACAGCAAAGGCCTGGAGTCACTCACTCACCTAAAAAGTTGTAACAAAAGTAGAAAACTGCAGGTTTTGAAGTGGCTTTTCTGCTGGAGTATCTATTTTCTACAGATCAGATAGTTTCTATATTGCTAATTATTTGTGCATCCTCCTCCTCCTGCTCCGTTTCTCACTCACTGCCTACCTCCTTGGCTCCTAATTGCTTGTTTTGGATCTCACAACCCCAGAGAAGTCAGGCTTAAAATCAGCTTCTAGAAGTTGATCTTTCCAAGCCCACTCCTCACACATTAACTCTTGCCCAGGTCTCTGCATACCCTGTCCTGTAGAGGGCTATCTTGCAACAGAGGGACAAAATGAACATCATGAGCCAACAGCATTAATCCCAAAGAAATGCTCAAGTATTGTGATTGCTTTCACAGCTGTCTTGGACAGTCATTGATTTGAACTTCCTAAATCCTCAAACACAGTGAACATACTGAAGATCCCATCATCCCTTTTAATTTTTTTTTTTCCTTTGTCAAAAGTGGGGAAGGGAAAAGAAGCTCTGAACTCCATCATAAATAAGGACATATTCAGCAAAAACAAAGTGCCACTTGTTTGAACCGTTCCCTCAACGATCAGGGTGCAGAGGACATGGCGAGGTGACAGTGCCAACCAACCCAACTACGCAAGAGGCTCTGCCTTGGAAGTGCTTCCGATAATTAAGCGCACGAGGCATAAATTTACCAAGATATGAAAAGCAAGTGAGGTCACTCTGCTCTCATTTTCCTCACAGATTGTAAGGAAAACAAACTCTCCAACAATATTAAGAATATGATGATTGGTCTTTTCTGCCAGCACAGCTCCGTTTTGTAGGACATCATTTTTTCAGGCTCTTAACCAGCAGCGCTTTGCCAGCAAAAGCCCTCAAGTAATGCAATTACATTGGCCAAAATCATCACTCTGCCAGGGATTTTATTCTCTCCTGGGACTGTCTTAAACTGTATGAGCAAAGAAGCCATCAGCAATCTCTTTCAAGTACAGACAACTCTTAAAAAAAGTAAGTACAATTGTTTAAACAAACTGTATTAAAATTTAGCACTACTAAAGACAAGTCAGGCAAAGATGATATTTTAAATACTGTGGGTTTAAATAAAAAACAGTGTCCTAGAAGCATTTTAAGAAGTAGCAGCTCCCAAGCTATTTTATTTTGTACTTAAATACAAAAGAGAGCAGCACTTATCCAGAACTTAATCTCCTTCTAAAAATATATCGCTTTGACATTTATTTCCTTTATCAAATCTGTAATCAGTTCCTTTAAACAAAAACCCCTGGTGATAAATAAACCTAAGTGGTAATGTTTTCTTTGTGGAAACAATTACTCACCTAACGGCAAAGTACAAAGTTGCCGGGCCTGGTTTCTTGGGCAAGTCATGGTCCAGAACTCGGTGATCCAGCTGCAGCCACACACTCTGACCTCTGTGGAAACAGGTTGGATAGATGGTTAAAAACTGGGGCAGGAAATACAGAAACGGGGTCTTTTCTTTCTTTAGAGCGTTACTTTACAAAGTGCAAGATTCAGCTCTGAGGCAGACAAGCATCTCAAATGATCTCCTTTTTTCCTAACTTTCAGATTTTGATGTCACTCACTTTTGTATGGTAGAGAATGCTCTTTGCAATTATATTTTCAGCGGCACAATGACAGCCATAGCACAGCACCCAGAAAAACTAAGTATTATGGAAACAGCCTCCTTTGCTATAGGTGGAGACACTTCCATTGACTTCTCATGTCTAGCAGGGGGAACCGATCTGTAGCAGAGGCTGGGTGTTTGCCCACAGCAGAAATAGGTCTGATCAGTGGTGCTACACAGGGATTGCACAGTGCTGCTGCCATATCCCCCTACTACTTCTCTTCCACACAATCCCTAGTCCCAGTGTGACATAAAACCCCACTTTGGAGCAGAGGGGTTTACCACAGGCACACTATTTAAATGAGGCAGCTGTATAAAACATGGTGTTCTCTGCAGCAGCTTCTCTGATTGAAATGGGAAACCAGAGAGAAAACAAAAATCCCCCAAACCCCAATAACCTCCCTGAGGACCCTGGAGCTGAGGAGGACCGCAGAAGTCTGTGGCTGCCCAAAAAGGCTGGGACATGGGTGCCCTCCAGAGGCCACACGCTCCCTCCAAGCACCCAGCCCAGCCCTGTACATCCAAGGCAGCCTCTGGCGTCCCAGTGGTGTTTCTGAGGAAGCCAACAGCTTTTAGGTAATCCCCTGGCAGCACTTTAAAGCTTGCCGTGAGGGAATGCCAGCAACCAAAAACATCCAGAAGAATTTCATGGCAGCTCTTCTGGGGGGAAAAAAATAAGCCAAGTGCAAACAGCACCCTCAAGGGATTTACAGAAGAGATTGAAGAAGGTATTTTCCAACATCTGAAAGCACAAGGATGTGGCAAATATATTCTAGGGAGAACCCAAGATGTGAGTGGCTGGTAAAAATAACACACTGCTGTGGTTGGGGCTCTGGAGTGCGCAGCTCCTACCAGGTCCATGAACACCAGCCCATTCCCCAGAGCTAGTCCTGTACCTGCAGAGGGGAACTGCCTTGGCAGGGTGGCCCCAAACACAGCTCCAACGTTATTCGTAGGCGAAGGCTTCCATCCAGGACACCATAAAAAGCAGCAATGGAGAGCAGCAGGGACTAATATTACTCCCATTAAACAAAAGGATGTTTATTTAGGGGCTGTATTAGTGCACAACTCCATTTCCCCACTGCCTTAAACAGCTCTGCTCCAGCTTTTTTTGGGGAGCTGAAGGTAACTCGGAGACGCGGGCGCTGCGGAGCAGAGTCCTGCACCCAGCAGACACGGGGAAGCATTTCAATGTAATGCTGACAGAGGAGTCTAAACACCAGCTGAGATTTCAGTTAACCCAGATAACTCCAGGTTAACACCACAGAAGCGGATCTTCTGCGGAGCTCCAGAGCACAGCCACAGCATCTCACCCAGCCCGGCAGCAGCTGTCGGAGGAGAGTGGCAGGGGACGGGCAAGGGCTGCCTGAGCTGCCCACTGCATCAGCATCCTTGAGAAACTGCACCCAACACCCCTGCACACTCCCCACAGCTGGGAAGGGAGGATTGGGCATTTCCAGCACATTCTGCTTTTGCAGCTCTTTTCAGTAGTCTGCAGAACAGCTTGGATACCTAAAAGAAAGAGGGAAGCTAGAGGAAGGTTGTTTATGGGAAAGACTAACCTCATATTTCACTGCTGCTAGGGAAGCTTGGGTTTAAAAGACTCAATACTACATTTAGATTAAAGGGCAAAGCAATTCATCTTGAACATAAATGCAAAACCTTTTTGTTGTTACTAAAAGTGCAGAGTAGGAAAGCTGAGGGTGTTCATGTGGGAAATTATTGCTGAATCAATTTTTTCACTTTGTGAGACAAACATGAAAAGAGAAAGCACCAGGAAGGTATTTTACAAGTGTTCTCTGGTTTACGCCTAGAGAAATTTTCCGAATATTTTTTGTTTTGTGCCTTCCCCTTTCCTCAGCCAAGCAGCACAAGCAGAAGGCAGGAAAATCTTTCTTCAAAAGAAAAAGGAATTTTTCCATCACAGTGAGCTGCCACAGTGTCGGGGATAGGTTCCACATTGCAATAATCACGCAGCTGTTTAAAATAAATTAACATACTTACGTATCATCTATAAACGTTATCCCAAAATACTCCTTTTCTTTCAGGTTGAAGTGTGAGGCCACCAGATCCAGTAACTCCCGCGACAGAAGTTTGGGCTATTGAAAGAATAAAAATAATTTCATTAATTTCAGTCCAGGCTTTTCATATATAATAAAGATTTTTCTCTGCAAATACTGACATTTAAGTAAACATGGCCAAGTTAAAACCTTGTTGTACAACTCAGAGAAGTGGCTCCATCAGACTCAGGCAGTCGGATTCGGTGTCTCCATGGAGCTGTGCGGGGTGTGCAGAGCACAGAGAGGCAATTATGTACTTAACCCACGACATCAAGCTGAAGCTCATGGACCGACTGCTGCTTTCCTCTTTCTGGGGGTAAAGGAGGCAGCTCAGACTTTTCTGCACTTACAGCAGGAGAGATTTTTCAATTAAGAAAATATTGTGTACTAGACGATCTCATGCTTTGGGTTCCATTACAGGAATAAAACACATTCCCAAACATACAATCTCTTCTTTCCTTCTAAATTAAAACCAACACACCACCACAAGGGGTGCGTTTAATACACTTCATGGAATTTGGTGAAAGCAGATGAAAAAGCACAGAACTGATGGCAGATATTTTGCCCACTGTGGACCAATGCCCAAGGGAAACGCTCCTGCTAATTCAGGTCTGAGGAAGGGCACGTGTCCCTGAAAGCATGCCCGTTTACTCCACTTCTATGAGTTGCTCTAGTAAGGGATATAACTTTGTTTCAAACATTCCTTACGCATCGGTCCCCAATAAGACTGCTAAAGAAAATAAGCAGAGGAATCTGGCACTGTGCTACCAGTGCCCAAAAGAGTGGGGTCTGTACCTGAACCAGCAGCTCCAAGTTCCTGTCATCGAGGAGATGTACCTGGCAGTGCCGGCCCTCTGTCATCTGCAAAGACAGCAACACAGCACTGTGAGGGAGGGCAGGATCCATGGCTTTCATGGATTGCACTGGATCACACGTGGCTCAGGGTCAAGAACAGCATGTAGCAAGCGTTTAATCTGCACCGATAAGGGAATCGACTCGAAGGACTCGGGCTGGAGAGCTGCCTTATCACTGTGAGCTCCCATCGACTTCAAAACGGTATTAAGGGTGCTTAGTAGCACTCAGGATCAGATAGAAGTGACATAAATGCTGCAAGAATTTAATTTGGGGATGAACCAGCTTGGCTAGTACCATAGACACAAGCAGCAGCCATGGCCTTTTGCTCTGGTGAGGAGATGACCAGGGACCCATGAAATCCCCGTTTATCCAATCATCCCTGCAGACGGATCAGCCTAGATTCCGTCCCTTGACAGAGGACCTCATCTCCAGTCTAGATGAAGTCTCTACTGGTACATTAATGATCTCCCTTGGATAACTTTTCACAGTCATTAGAAGTCCTTATCTCCATAGGATTATTATACAGGTGCTTGCACATGTCAAGACAGGTGCTTGAAATGAATGATTAAGAACAGGATGAGCTTTACAACTTCTAACGTTACATCTGGACCACCTTGGTTCTCACTTCGTGTCCCATTTATCTCCTGCAAACAACGTGCCCTTCTCTAAGAAAGAGCAGTTCAGAAATAGCTGCACATTATGCCCTTTTAATATCTGCCCTTTGAAATCTAATACATTTCCATGTAAGCTTTTACATTATTTAAAATCTGTTCTAATTCTGTCTCACTGGCTTTGGCAAGGACTGGTTTTGCAACACTCTCCGGGTGAGAGCTGGTAAAGGAAACCTGGCTTTTATATTTATTCTCCCAGCCTCAGAGTAACTCATTTTCCTGACAGCACAAGCTTCTCACAGACTATAAATTCTGAGCTGTGAGCAGAGGTCGAGGGTGGTTTGCTTAGCTAGGGGCTCCCGGGGGATTAAATGGCAACACACAGCGGTTTCTCCTTTCACATCCCTCTGGCTCCACAAGGATGGGGACAAGGACAGGGCTGAGCTCTGCTGCCACCAGCACCCCCCTCATCACTTCCTGCGCTGGGATGCCTCATGTGCAAACCTTATAAAGACTTAAAAATAAATACAGTTTATACCTAATTTCAGTATAGTCAAAAAGAGACATCCCACCTCCCCCCAGCACTGCCCCCATTTCAAGGCCCGAGTGTTTGCTCAGCGAGGGCTGCCGAGACACTGCCTCTTCTGTCACCAGCCAGCCGGTTCAGACAGAAGTTGTCAAATTAACAAAGCTTTATTGTTTCAACTAATTGAGCTCGTTTTGACCAAGTGCCAAGAGGGAGTCCCCTCCTGAGGAGCTCCACAAACAGGTCAGAGACGAGCATCTGTGGGCACAACTCTGTCTAGTGTTCATGAATACTGAGCTATAGCATCTGCGGCACCAGCACTGGCAACTTATGGCACTGCCAAACACGTATCATCGCATCACTCATCCGAACAGCAATACTGGTGGAAGGACCATTTGCAGGATAAGTCTAGCTGGAAGAAACCCCTTTCCTTTTCACCTCTCCTACTGCTGCGAACTTGAATCTGTAAAGTAGTGCCAGATGAAGAGTGACTTGTGAATAGAGGGGTGCAAAGCAGAGACTGCACCATCACGGAGACAGCAGCGATGCCCCCCCATGCAAACCACAGCCTCACCCCACAGTACTGCACCCCGAAGAGACATCAGCCCAGAGCTGCACTAGCCCCAGGCCCCTGCTCCCAGCAGGGTACCACTTCCACTGCTTTAATCCTCAGGTTTTGGAAGCAAAGCTGCAGCATCCCAATTGCGGCTTCCAGTACGCTCCCTGCAATTTATCCACTCGCCGAACGTGCTGTCTGGAGCCCTTAAATCCATTACGATCTGATCATGGGTCCATTTGTTCCTGAGAGCTGAAGGTCTGCCATTGCACAGTCATAAATAAGTCGCATGTTACAATCAATTAATCATTTCATCAGCACACCCTTCAAGGTGGTGCATATTCTGGCTCTGACACACAGTTACCAATCTGCCCCTGTTGCGAAGTGTCTGATCCAATAGTGCTTTTAAATCATTTCCCATCTGTTGCCCTGAGATAGCACAAGGGTTGCCATTATTTAATTGCTAGCTGCTTTAGCTTTCACCCAGTGAAGTCACATTAATCACTTCTGACTGTTTTAATTGCCTTGATTGTCTGTTGTTAAGTAAAAAAGGTTTCTACAATAGAAAACACATCCACAAAGCCTTGTGCTGAGGAGAAAGGAAGGTTGCCAAGAAGATTAAAACATAAAAGAAATAACAATCATAATCTATATTTCTATTCAGCTATCCAAAGTAATTGCAAAGCACCTGAAAAGTAAAGTAATTAAACTTCATGACACCCCTGAAGATAGGCAAGGTATACTTATCCCCAATTTTATTGATAAGACGACATAAGGACAGCTCAAAAGCCTGATTTACAGATACAGATAACATTTAGTACCTGACTCTCCAGGAATCTCATCTCAGAAGAAATCATACAGCTGCTTCCCAGAGTACTGGAAAGCTCAGTCAAGAAGTTGCAGAAGATGCCAGGGTGCTCAGCAATAGAGCACCATGAAATGCCATTACTGCGACAAACCTGTCAGCTCTCGCCTGTATCCCCAGAGCTCTACGTGGTGACAGGCTCATGTCACCCCAGGAATGCTCTGTCATACGGTGGGACACGACAGCAATGCCCAGGGCCACGCCGGCTGTAGCCCAAGGAAGAGAGGGGCTCCAGAGCCCTTTCCATTTTCTGCCTGCACCCCTCTGCCCCCCCCAGCCCATGCACACACACCTGAGTGCTACAGCCCTGCCAAGATGCCTTCCCCACCTGGGCTGAGAGGCACAACATGCATACTCACTGCGTGACACCACAGCCTGGTCCAAGGACACAAATCTGCTGGGGTGACCACCAGCTTTGCACTTGCAGGCTCCAGTCCCCTGAAACACGGTGGTGTTAACTAGAGCAGCCCAAACATCAGCCCTTATCCTCCTCTTGCAGACCCAAGGCTTCAGCAGCCAGCACCCTGGTTTCTGCAGCTGTGCAAGAGCTCACTTCAAGTATCCCCACCCCATTCCTGATGGGGCAGAGAGCACTTCACTTGGCTTACTCGGTACTTACAAACACAATCAGAAGCAAATCACTCCCTGTTACTATTACAGAGCAACACCAGCCCATCCTGTGTCAGGAATGTCGCCCACCAGAGAGGTCATGTCCAGGGGACAACCCTCTCCTCACGTGGAGCTGCCCCCCTGTGCAGACAGGCTGCCTATATACCAGGCAGTACTCACATTTTGCAAGCCTCATCTGTACAGGGAGCAGAACTAAAGCTCCAGAGGCTCCAGCCGCAAGACCACCTCACAAGCTTTGGAGTATCAGTCACCTTCCACCAGCCCCATATTGCCCCAACACAGGAACACAGAGGTGCAACATGACTGCGGCACATCAGTGTCACACACTCTGGCACAGTCACAAGTATCAGTGGTCTGGTCCTCTCCTCTTGCCTGAAGAGAAGCTGGAAAGCTTCATAAAGAGGACTTCACCACCACAGCATCACTGGATACAAAAGGATTTTAGCCATAAGAGTGCCTCCAGCTCAGTGACCGGAGACCCATTTTCAACTCCCGCAATAACACCAGTGTGATTTATTTCCCCACAGCACACCCACTCCCAGGCCTGCTTCCCTGGGCTCTGAAAAGGATTCACACTTGGCTCCCCAGCTCTCAGGACACGGGGCTCCTCAAAGACCCAACACCCTGGGAGTCTCTTGCAGATACATTTTCTTTCATCTTTAATTCAGCATGCTTTACTAATCTGAACAATATAATTGATTTTCTCTGTAGTTGGACCAATCCATCACAAGATGAGCACAGCTGTCTGGCTCAGTTAAGAGGTGGCGTGAGCAGTTTTGAGATGCATATACAAACATCTGTTTTCAGCTTATTCTCATTGATTTTGCATTGTCTGTACAAATGAACAATTATGTTATATTTTTGCAACATGTCCCCAAGTTGATCTTTTTAGCAGTTATTTTTAAAACCCTGCTAACACTTAAACTATTATACAGTAAAAGAAGTAGCAGCATTAAATCCATGAAGTATCCCTGCATCTCATCTCATTCCCAATAGGAAATTAGCAGAGTGACATAACACAGCTCCATTTCTGGCAAAACCATACTGAGATACTGGGATGATGGATTTTTATTGTTTCCCAAAGACACTTCTATGCTCTGCACACAAGTACAACAATAAAAACTCAAAAATGGAGAGGAATGAAAAGGCAAACACTGTACAACGCAAAAAATGAAGTAATATAAAAATATTGCAGCCCTCCTAACTTACAAGCAGGTACTGGCAGCAAGCTTTCAGTGAGAAACCTGATTCACCCAGATCTTCAGTAAAGCAGCTGATAATGAAGAAACATACAATTCCCAGAATCTCCATGCATGAAAATTAAAGCATAGGGCAAGATTATGATTATATATAGCATGTTAACACGTTCAGAAAGGTTTTATATAGCTAGAAAAAAAAAATTTATTCAGCCATCTCACTTGTGACACAAAAATTAAGACAAATTCTCCACCTAAAACCACTGAGACAAATTTTCCAAAACATCAGTAATTTAAAAAGAAAAAAAACAACAAGGCAGAAAGAAAAAAACCTACTACTTGGCTACTTAAACCAAGTCCCTGTGATATCCTGAGCCTGAATGTTTATTTGGGAAAAAGACCATATGGGGGATATTTATGCTATTTCTCTTCAGCAGAAACATCCTCCCTGTTCCAAGCTGGTTGTTATATGCAATATTTTTAGACATCCATGTGTGTCATCCAGTTCGGAAAAAAATAAGAAACTAGAAAAAAAGTAATTAGACAGGGTGTAAACAGGAAACCTCAAAAAAAACTTAAGCCCCCAAAAAAGCTGACAGAATATAATGTACCTCCTGAAGCA